CTCATGCTTTCTTTCATATCAATTCCATGTCTTTTATAAAAATTCATATATTTTTCTCTGAGAAATTGTGAATAGTTTTTGACAAGGCTCTCTGTTTTCATGTGCCTAGGGAGATTCTTTTGGTGCTTTAGGACAGTCAGTGTCCTTTGGGAGATTCATGTCGGAGAAACTTGAGTGGGAAAAATGGTCAGCTTTCACAACACAACAGAACCGTTATGTAGCGGAGGCAGAGAGATACTCAAGGCCAGGATCTGTGGCTCAGAAGAAAGCTTTCTTTGAAGCTCACTACAAGAAACTCGCTGCTGCAAGAAAAGCTGCTGCAGAAGAGGCATTGTTGCTTCAACAACAACAAAACTCTAAACCCGAAGCAGAGAAGGTTCCAGTTCAAGAAGATGTTAATGGAGGAGGAAAGAAAGATGGGTTGGTGTCAAAACCAGATCTTGAGATTCCAAGAGGATCTTTAGATGATAAAATGAAATTACTTGCAGATAAAGTAAGCAGATTTGGTGATAGACAATCCGATGAGAAAGAAAATCTTGAGAAGGTTGAAACAGAGATCAATGGCAAAGAAGAACAAGTGGCGGAGAAGACTCCTATGATACTAAAGGTAATTTTCTGATTAATGATCATAAAAGTTTTCTTTCTCTCTATGTGGCTTCTTTTGTCATTGATCTGTTACTTGTTTGCAGAAGAAATCCAAAGATTCACAACCAAAGAGCAGTACCAAACCAAGAATCTCTAAGTACAATTCATCGGAGAGGACTCCAAGTCAAAAGCCAAGGAACAAGAGCAACTCTTACACTTTCACACCTGCAAAAGAGTTCAATAGATTGGTTTCCATCATAAAGAAGATTGATGGGTCAAGAGCTTCTTCTAAACCAACCAAAGACTGCAAAACTCCTCTCCGGACACCATCAAACAAGGTGCCTAAATTCTTCAAAGACTACTTCACTCATTTGCTATTAAATTCAAGTGCTTATATAAGTAAGCTCTTGTGGTTGCAGGTGTCTGCAAAGGTGATTATTGACAACTCTTTGTCCACACCTTTAACCAGTAACAGAAGGTAAGCACTGGTCAATAAACTCTTAAAAGCTTCTTACTTGCTATGTGATTAGAGAAGTAATCAGGTGTTACAACAAATGCAGAGGAAAAATAGCTCCGGATTCTTCTGCTAAGACGACAACTCGAGGAAGATGGAATTTCCTCCCTTCGGAGTAAGAACTGATCTTAAATAAGAATTTTCTCAATTCAAAATTTGTAATGTGTGCTTTTCTAACCAAGAGGGAACTTATTTATTGGAAAATAAAAAAGCAGAACACCGAGCTGTTTTACACCGTTTGGCTTAAGAACAGAGGAAAGAGCAGAGAGAAGAAAAAAGGCAAGAAGTGATTCAACAGTTGGAGAGATTGTTTTGGTTTATAAAGGTTTTGTGTTGTCATACTTAGCATTTTACTGGTTCTTGTTGATGTTACAGAAGCTAGAGGATAAATTCAAAGCCATGGAGACACAGGATCAGAAGCCGGAGGAGAGGAGTGTGGAGAAAGAAGAGAGTAAACTAAGGCAAAGGCTATGCTTCAAGGCGAAGCCACTCCCTAATTTCTACAAACAGAGACCTAAATCCACTGACCAAACTAAGAAAGTAAGCAAGCTCGTTTTCACTAATAGTCAAATGTAACTTAAAAAGACATAAGAGATAGACATTAATGTTTCGTGTCTGAGAGATCTTTGTCGTCTTTGTAGGCTCTGTTACAGTAGAAGCAGAGAGGAGATGTTAAAGAAATGTATATTGCGCTGACTTAGCGCTTGTGGGAAGAAGAACCGTTTTGCCCCAAAAGGGATTAGTTTGGAATCACTGAAATATTTGATTGTTGAAGATTGATTTTTATTATATTGCATTGTATGAATCTTCTTTGTAAGCTTCTTGTTATATACTAATGGTTGAAAACACACACAAAATAAGTTGTAAAGTGTAACTTCTTCGAATCCTC